GCTTGCATATCCACAAACTTTCCTTACAGCTTGCATATCCACAAACTTTCCTTACAGCTTGCATATCCACAAACTTTCCTTACATCTTGCATATCCACAAACTTTCCTTTGTGCATAGCATTTCTTTCCTATCTGCACTCCCCAAGATGTTGAAGTGTTTAGAAGTGACATTTGTGTCACAGTCCTGTAAACAGTGGCGAAGGATGGATGACTGATTATATGCTGTGTTTTGCGCATGCTCTTTAATATGTGAGCTCAGACAATGTATTGTAGTGCCCACATAGCCAAAGTTACACCTTGGACATGATAATTTATATGTGACATAAGAGCGACGTGTTATAGAAATCCTGTCTTTATACATAGAATAATTACTTAAATGAAACATTGGTTTAAAGACAATTCTAAACTTAATATGTGGGTAAATTTTATTATATTTATAATAAAGAAAAGTCTTGTGGATACACAAGATGCATCCTGAATACTATGTGATTGGTATTCTTGGGTTGTTTTTTTTTCAAACTATCTGAAAAGATTAATTGTTTGAGCTAACTTACTACTATAACATTGGCCAAGTGGGCAGCTATTAATGCATATACTCCACCAGAGGCACCAGCCAGGAATGTAGAAGGATCAGATATTGATGAACCCAAAGATCCTATGAAGAAAAAATCATTAACGTATATTCCATTTAAGTAATAATTTATTAATCTATTACAACCATCATCTGTTTGAAAAAATACAACATTCCACAGACTTTATAAAGAAATAATTAGTTCAGAAATTATTTACATAATGCAATTCTAAACATTTTTATTATTGTGGGGAAAACTAAAAGTTAGTCATAAAAGTACAATAAAATCATAAATTTATATTCATTTTCAGATACTAGCTCAAAAATAACTCAAATAAAGTTGTTAATGGTATCCAGCCTTGATTTAATACCAGGTCAATGAGTCAAGTATTGTCACAATGACTCCTCCACGAAATTGTAAAACTTAGGTGAATTTTAGAAATTGGGGGAAAAAAAAACTATGTTTTTTAATCTTTATGAGAATGTTTTTTACATTCTAGTACAAGTTTACACAACACCATTTAGAAAGTGATTAACAAGCAAGACCATGTATGATTACAGTTAAATGTTTAGTACGTGTAATTTATATTTTATTTCAACTGATTATTCTATTATTCAAAATAAATTCTATTCTCATTAATTTTCATACAAAACAGTTTAGATAATATGTAACCACTGGACAAACAGTGGATGAACTAAGCAGTGAAGAATGAAGTTGAAGACTTTCTGGATGGACCTCGTATCAGCTGGAATGTGTCAAGTTTCGTAAGATTGATTGCTATTACAAAACATTAGGCCGTTCAGTTAAAGCATTTTTAACATATGCATTTTAGTTTTTAAAGCCTAAATTTAATACCAATTAAATCTCTGTTTCTGTGAGATAGCGTTACTATTTAATGTTTCATGTTTATTAAATTAACTTGAAAAAATAAGGAATTTTTTTTTAAGAATTAGTAAGTTGGTCTCTGGCTATTTTAAACCGTTTCATAATTCGCTCATCGCTCTGAAGAGGGAATCAACCAGATTAGAAATGTTCAGTCTTGCAGTAATTTGTAATTTTATAAACTTATGATTGAAAGTAAAGAACAATATGTAAGTAATAGATCAACCACACTTTATCTGTCATATTAATAGATCAACCACACTTTATCTGCCATATTCATAGATCAACCACACTTTATCTGTCATATTCATAGATCAACCACACTTTATCTCCATGTTCATAGATCAACCACACTTTATCTGCCATATTCATAGATCAACCACACTTTATCTCCATATTCATAGATCAACCACACTTTATCTGTCATATTCATAGATCAACCACACTTTATCTGCCATATTCATAGATCAACCACACTTTATTTGTCATATTCATAGATCAACCACACTTTATCTGCCATATTCATAGATCAACCACATTTTATCTGTCATATTCAGAGCTTCTGGCTCAATATCATAGCTCATCAGGCTGGTTGGGATACGGCAGACATAGTAGTGGTCTATGCACTATCTAATATCACCAATTACATGAAAGACAACTGTTATGGTGTGAAACAGATTAAGCAAATGAAGCATAATTATTATTAAATATTATTTAATTCCTCTACCAATCAAAATTAGGGTAATTATTAGTAACACATTAATATTTATTTATATTAAACACAACTTATGTATTTACTTCATTATTATGTAAGTTATAGTAACCACCTGCTAATCCACCAGCAAGATAGAGAAGCCCAACCCTCCACCACTTATGCACCATCTCCAAGGGTATTCCCAATAACAACTGGATTATAATGTTGAAAAAAATATGAACAGCTCTGAGGGGAAAAAATAATTATAATTACTATAAAACTAAATTTATCATTATGTTCTTTAATGGTATTTCTAATAACAACTACAAACACTTGGGTAAAGTAAATTTTTATAGCAATTTGTGTGATGTGCATGATAAAAATGTTTGAAGGAAAGATTTAAAAGAAACTGATGTTTTTCAAAACTAGCACGACCATTCGAATGGAAAACTTTTTTTTTAATTCACTCTAAAAGTGTTACATAAAACTAAAGTATATATAT